GCAAGATGAAAACAATTGTCATTGCACTTGGACAATTTTCTTGACATTGATTTATGGTATTGATCAGTCTTCGGTTGTCGGTACTGATTTATTTTCTCATTTTTTTATAAGACAAAAAAATTGATACGAATCGTTCGTTTATCCGAGTTAATTTGTTGAATAAGATTAGAGGGGTAAGTACCTGAAAAGTGAAAACAAATTGTCATTGCACTTGGACAATTTTTTGGCACTGATTTATGGTATTAATCGATATTCAATTTTCGGTACTGATTTACTTTTTCATTTCCCTATAAGAAAAAAAATTCATACGAATCGTTCATTTATCCGTGTTAATTTGATGAATAAATTAAATATTGATCAGTCTTCGGTTTTCGGTACTGATTTATTCTCTCATTTTTTTATAAGACAAAAATAATTGATACGAATCGTTCGTTTATCCGAGTTAATTTGTTGAATAAGATCAGAGGGGTAAGTACTTGAAAAATGAAAACAAATTGTCATTGCACTTGGACAATTTTTTGACACTGATTTATGGTATTAATCGATATTCGGTTTTCGGTACTGATTTATTTTCTCATTTTTTTAAAAGACAAAAAAATTGACACGAATCATTCGTTTATCCGCGTTAATTTGATGAAAAAATTAAATATTGAACAGTCTTCGATTTTCGGTACTGATTTATTTTTTCATTTCTTTATAAGACAAGAAAAATTGATACGAATCGTTCGTTTAACCGAGTTAATTTGTTGTGTAAATTACAGCTGTAACTACCTGAAAAATGAGATCAAATTGTCATTGGACAATTTTCTGACACTGATTTATGCTATTAATCGGTATTCGATTTTCGATACTGATTTACTCTTTCATTGCTTTATAAGAAAAGGATAAATTGATAAGAATCGTTCATTTATCCGCGTTAATTTTTTTTATTATTTTTTTTTTTATATATAAGTGGTCCATGGGCCGGGCCGACTCCTTATGTGACTAGTCAGACTAATAAACATTTTTCCCTAACTTAAATTATTAAAGTACATTGGGACTGGTGGCCACTCCCATCGGGTGGACCTAGAGACTAACAGTATAAAACGATAGGTTAGCTTCGCTACTGCAGAAAGGATTTCGCCTATCCGTTGACTTTATAACTTCTATTTCTTGACCAATTCGAAAGGTTTGATCCTCTTGAGCCTTTTCACAAGTCCGCCATTGTCCATTGCAATTATTCTTGATGCTTCCGAATTGACACGCTGTCCAAGCCTGTCGTAGTGGTTTTTGGCAAATTTTTTTATTTCCTCAGCTACTGTTCCAACTTGGAGATCCTTATGGATGTCGCGGGAGTTTCGGGAGTACCAAGAGGCAGCTATCATATTTCTAAGAACTCTATTTTGCTGAATTTGAATACATTGTGTATTGCTTTGCTTGATACCGTGCCAGAGTTGTATACCATAGGTTCAGATTGGCTTTAGGATTTGGTGATAAAGCAACAGTTTATTCTGTGTGGATAGCTGGGATCCTCTCTCTAAAAGCCAGTACATCTTCCTATATTTTAGTTTTAGCTCCTCACATTTTTTCCTCACGTGCGCTTTCCAGCGTAACTTTGCGTCCAAGGTCATTCCTAGGTATTTAGCCTCGTTTGCATACGGGACCATAGTGTTATTTATCCTAATTGGTATATAACTATAATTCTTATTTGTAAAGTTGAGGTGAACTGATTTTGATTCGTTTAGTTTTATTTTCCATTTGCATTTTACCATCGAAACCTGAAAGTGAATGTAGCATCGTAGTTCCCCTCTCAAAATGGATGCAGATGGCGTCCTTTCCCAGTGCGGAAAGTCGGTGTCGCCGAAAACGCCGTGTTGGCCGCTCTCACGTTCCTCTCTGATTTAAGCTACACCACATGTGTCACTGTCGTGTTATCCCACGTGGTTTCGGTTAAAAATAATCGCACTGATGGAGCCGAATAAAACAATTACGGTATCGTAGTTAGTTAAACTGTCTATTGCAAGATACTATGTATTAATAGGTTTAATCTCTAGCGATCTCGTAAAAGGTCAAAATGCAACTAGTGCATTCACTTGTGCAATGCACAAGATTTCTAGGTTAAACTGTCTAGGGCACGTTAACATTTTAAGTGGTACGATGAATATTGTCAGACGTGCTGATTGGCTGTTGAATTTCCAAGACCCTAATACAAATATTTTTTCCTAGGTATCCTAAAAATTCCTTATCCGGGTAGCTATTATGGAATTCGTCGGAATCGATTCCGATTGGAATAATTCCGTTTCCCCTAGAAAAGACAATAGAAATCTAGGAAATAACGGAATAAATTCGATCGGAATCGATTCCGATGAGTTCCATAATAGGTACCCTGATAGATGAATTGATGTATCCGATAAATTCGTCATATGATAAATAAAATGTTACGCTAATGCCTAATTAACTTATGCATGTTATATTGTGGTGTTATCGACAATCGAAATATTAGTGTTCTTTAATTATTTATTTGTCTATTGAGTTCCGCAACAAAATTCTCTTTAATCCGACGTGTTGACGAGAATGCGTGATTGTCAGTATTCGGGGGCACGACCGAATTTTAGATTTTAAGCATTGAATTATAGCTTATCCGTCTAGACATTTATTCATATAATCGATCTGATTATCTTCGAATCATTGAATTTTTGATTTAATTATTACTATTTATCGATAGTAATAAACGGATTTGGCTCAACGGATTTGGTTGAAGTCTATATTAGTTTGAATAAAAGACTCTGACTTACTGAAAATCTAACATGAGTCTATTTTTATTAGCTGCTGAACTGGTGCAATAAGTTAAAGTGAGAAAAAATATAGTTGTCTCATTCTAACTTATTGCTAGTTCCGCAGTACAACTAAAAAGAACAGACTACATGTTTCACACGCGATACGTTGAATATCGGCGAATATGATGCCGAAAGATATCGCGTTCAATTATACTCGCGCGGATCGATTGACACTCGGAATGATTGCCCGTTGATTCGGTATTCTCGCTATTTGTTGGCACGCGAAATTTACTGTTGTCGGGTAAAAGAATGCAATGAGCGCGGAACGATCGCAGCATTCGGACGTGGCGACAAGCGACGTGAAATTGCCGCGAGTTAGCACCGAGTATAAATGCGAGTGTAAATGGATCTCATCATGATTGGATGGCTGCGTCACGTATTTCGATAATCTTCGAGAATCGCAATCACTGTAATTTGTAGCTATATTCAGTTAAAATACGGGTCTCGGAGTACGGGTTAGCACGGGTCTCGGGAGCTCCTCCTTATTTCGCGTGATTTTAATGCATCAGTAAGTCTCATGTATGAAATATCGTCGTCGGGAGTGCTGGGAGTAAGTTTCGCGCGTTGGTTATGGAAAATATCATTAAGTAGTCGTAGGAGATGAATATCTTGGGTCGTCGGATCGTCGAGTAAAGTTTCGTGCGTTCATTGCGTTATGGTGGTATCGAGTTTAAACCGTTGGGCGTTATATCTACGAGCCGTCGAAGAGTCTAGTACGCGAACCATCGTCGGGAGTACTGAAAGTAAGTTTCCCAGAGGTTAATACCATTAAATAGTCGCCGAAAGTGAATATTTCGCGGAACAGTCCATCGGGAATACTGAGTGAAATGCCTCGCACGTTCGACATATTACTGTAGTCGAAATGTATGTTATAGGACTGCTGCTCTCTTTACGTTTCCGATCTCCCAGCGGATTATTATCGGACATGCCGGTCGAGATGTCACTCGTTCGTTGTATTACGGCAGTTTGGAGTTCCAGCAAAAGAAGAAATCGGTGAGTGCAATAGAATGCTCACGACTGTTGCGTGTTGAGTCGTATGATTCGCGGTTTTATATAAATAAATAATGTAAGATGACTGATTTTTGTGCAAGATAACAAAAACGGCATACTGCCTAAAATCAAGTATCAAAGTAAAGAAATATGGAGAGCATTGTTGTGCTTTTTATAGATTGTAACTTAAATTAATATCCCAGACAGCACAATGTCCAAAACTGGGACATAAGACGTCTTTAAGATATCTTTAAGACAACTTAAAGATGTCTTATTTTCAGACATCTTAAAGACGACTTAAAGATGCCTTAAAGACGTGTTATGTCCCAGTTTTAGACATATGTACGGTCTGGGATTTCTCTTCGTGATGTGTTTTGACAATTGATAATTATATCAAAAATCTTATTTTCTTTCAATATAACTAATATTATGCATTGGCAGTTATCCCACATATGACTGTAGGCCATCTATAGAACGAAAGGCGAAAACACTATCGATAAAATAGATACTCTCTTTATCATTTTCAATTCTTTTTCTTAATTATTGTTTTACTCTTGCATACATTTGCGAAATTTTATTAGTGTTGATGATTTTTTATAATATTTTTATAGACGAGTGGGCCTATTGATGTATATAAATATCTATTTACAACAGTCTTAGTAGAATCTTATAGATGATATTCGTAAAAAATAATCGCAAGTAATGAACGTCTTTTATCACGGTAACATTTGATTTATCTTCAGTAGTAACCAACAGTTTTTTTTATCGACAGTTTATTACCGACTGCTTTTTATGTTTTGCTGGTACGTTAGATGACTACCGTAGGTAAATCATTGAACACAATGCTCGTCAGAGCATCTGTGAATTCTTTTCACTTCAACATATAATTCAACATAAGTATTAGAGTCTAATAGCATATTTATTATTAAATGTTTGGTCAAAATACCAGGCTTTTACACATTTGCTTATTATCTTCTTGCTTGTTTACTTATACTATAACTTATACTATACTTGTACTATAAAATAATTTAATTTACATGATAAGTATATATAAAAGAAACAAAAGGAGAGGAAGATATAATGACATACAACTTGACACGTAAGAAAGTTGCATAATAGCATGATTTATTTATACATTTATAATACTTTTATACATATAAAAAGAAAAATCAAGCGAAATGTCAGAAAGGCTTGAGTGACATTGAATGACTGACGTATGATGTTGATTGAAGTTTTACGAGACATCTCTAACGCAATATATGCTAGTACTACACGAAGATTATTTTTTGGAAATCACGCAAGGATTATTTGCGTGATTTCCCACATTTTCCCATGATAAACCTTGGTGTACAAAGTTTGTCTTATATCTGTGATTGTTGTAATAACAGTCTCTAAACAATTCCGACATCTCGAATTTCGAAAACTCACAGAAAGAAGCTGCTCTTGCTACGACGATACTCGCGTCTTTATTATTTATTCTAATCGCGCATCTCGCGCGATATAGTCATCTTTCATCTCGCGTCATTACGCGAAAATCTGTGCCGGTAGGAACGGGAAGGTGTTGTAGACATATACAGGTCGATTGAATGCGAAGGAGTTCGCGATCGCCAGAGCCGGATTAGAATCGAATTCATCCTCAGTTTGCTCGCCCGGCACCGTCGTCGGCTCCCTGCTGCGAGGTGTCGTTGTGGTTTTTACGGTGGTCGCGACGGTCCGCGGCGTAGTCGTAGTGGTGAATAACGGGACGCGTTGGGTAGTCGCGGTATCCGGAGGTTCGTAGCTTTGTAATCCCGGGGTTCCGTAATACGCGTGCAATCGATTGTTATTGGGATTAAACTGCTGGCCATTAGGACGCCACCCCCTGGGCTTATATCCCGATAAATCTGACGTCGCCGCCAGTCCGATATAAAGGAGAACGAGGATGAGCTAGAAAAAAAAAAACACAGAGTCGGTTTATAAACCTACGAGGCGATGCGTGCTCGAGCGGCTCCGCGGAGTTATACTTGTTCGTTCGTTCGTTCGTACGTTCGCCTGTTCGTTCGTTTGTTCGTTCGTTTGTTCGTTCGTTTGTTTGTTCGTTCGTTTGTTCGTTCGTTTGTTTGTTCGTTCATTCGTTCATTTGTTTATTCATTCATTCGTTCGTCCGTCTATTTGTCCGTTCGTTTATTCATTCGTTCGTTCGTTCGTTCGTTCGTTCGTTCGTTCGTTCGTTCGTTCGTTTGTTCGTTCGTTTGTTCGTTCGTTCGTTCGTTCGTTCGTTCGTTCGTTCGTTCGTTCGTTCGTTCGTTCGTTCGTTCGTTCGTTCGTTCGTTCGTTCGTTCGTTCGTTCGTTCGTTCGTTCGTTCGTTCGTTCGTTCGTTCGTTCGTTCGTTCGTTCGTTCGTTCGTTCGTTCGTTCGTTCGTTCGTTCGTTCGTTCGTTCGTTCGTTCGTTCGTTTGTTCGTTCATTCGTTGTTCGTTCGTTCGTTCGTTCGTTCGTTCGTTCGTTCGTTCGTTCGTTCGTTCGTTCGTTCGTTCGTTCGTTCGTTCGTTTATTGAATAGCCGAGTACATTTACAGGATATCGAAAATTGCAGTATACGCTGCTTTTCTTCTAAATCTACGCGTAATCTTGATTTGAATCTATCCAGAATATATCCGAGTCTTGAACAAAGGAAACGACCGAAGAAAATTGGAATATCGGAACTTGAGTTTAATTAGAGCAAGCAGCACTCGTGAAGCATTTCACTTTAACGGACATTTAACGTCGTAAGAATTTAGAAGTCGTTGCGAAAAAGTAACGGTCTGTCAGATTCTTGCCCAAGGAGAAAAATCGAGTCGCACAGATATCGCAAATGGAAGTTGGTCGTGACACGAGGAAGTTTGCTCGACACTCCGTATGAGACAATTAATTATATCGAGTGTCGTGTCTCTCGCCAACGACGGATTAACACTCTGGCGGGTTGCACTAGTGCACCGTCGTTACTACAACTCTCCGGCAAGGGTGTCACTCACACACACAGTGCCTGTAAACTCATCGGAGTGTCAAATCCGCTGTCGGTGAGCTGGCAGTTCTTTCTTCAATGGCAAAGCGCGCTCCTCCAACGTTCTTTTCTTTGTTACACAGACCGAGCAAATAGAATACTCTTTTACCGTCCTCCTCATTTTCGTTCGATGTAACCCCACTGTTGAGCTCGCACCGAAAATTTTCGGACTGGCCTTTGCCCAAGTGTCCGTTCTGTCTTTATATGCGAAGCGACGTGCGCGGGATCGGACACTCTAGGCTGCGTGAATACGAAACAAGGCGAAGACGAAGACGATTTCGTTTCGTTGCTTATCGTTTCGTAATACGGCGGACCCATATTACGTGTTGAGAATAGTTTCGTGCGGTGAATTGACGTCTGTCGCTATATTTTGGATGCGCGTCAGTTTTGTGTCGAACGCCCAACCCGATCGCTTCCGTTCCACCCGCGGGAACTGCACGATATAAAAATTGTATCGCATCACGAATCGAACACGCGATCATTCGAGTTTGTGCGTTTCTGTAGCCGTCATGATCTTCATATTCGGGCTTACGTACAATGCTTGTTTCGCAAACAGACAGTGGTAATATGGTGTAACGTTACCGCGATAATAATGGAATAAATTTTGCGGCGTGTTTCTCGCTGCCTAACAAATTAGCGATTCGGACGTCGATAAATGCTTCGCTAAAATTAACACAGTAAAACACAGCGAGTTTTCCGAAACGCGAACTATTCAAATTTATTTGCGGAATAAATTATCGCGCTTCTTCCGGGCACAACTAGGGAGATGGGAGCTGTCTAATATGCGAGCGACGACCATCTCGCACCTTGTCTTCTTTTTGCCGTAAGAAAGTGAGTTTGTCGCTTGCGAGTGCATGTTAAACAGCTCTGATCTAGAGCTCACGAGAGACTGGAATTTAAATTAAGAAGCACACGGCGATTGTTTCGTATCATAGCGATCGAGAATGAAAAGTCTCGCAATAATAACCGCGAACGCACGTGTTTTGTCTATCGTACACCGAGTCGACTTTTACACTCTTCATCATTGCTCTTTCACTATTGGGTGTTTTAAACGTGGACACGAGAGCACATTCATTGTAGTAGCGGCTTTTGCAATGTCTTACGTGAATTAAGGACGTGTCCGGAATTTAAGATCGCGTGCAACTGTAACGTATACCCTGTGAATTCGCAAGATCGGTAGACGTCGTTCGCTCGCCTATACGAATTCGGTCGGTGTAATCTAGAAACGTGGCGCGCGAACTAATCGTCGGATTGACAGTGAAGTTGAGTGACAATGCTAATTAGAATTCTGGCGGTCCTCTGTTTAGAACTTGCCGGCTGTCATCTGCCGTCGATTCCACACCTCGCGCTGTGACACTTGTCCGTGAGATTTATTATTACTCATTCGCGCGTCAGAATCTTTTCTCTGTTATCGGCTTTTATTCATACAGATATTATTCCTACGTATCAGAGATAATCGCTTTTCTTACGTTATTAAATCTCTACGACGGACGGATCTTTTTGAACTCCTTGACTTGAATTTTGTATCGATTTTTACTTATATTTTTCTAAAATGAGCGTGACATAAATTTTTTTATTCTGTTAGATAAGAAAGACGTCTGTGCGCAACAGACGTTTGCTCGTACTTATTTGTAAGCATCTACCGTATAAGTAAGGGAAGGAATGGTTCTATTTGAGAAATTTTGCCGTTGAACTTATTACTGAGCTGCGTTCTCTGCTCCGAATGAGAAAGATAAATGGAAAAGGCGGCTGCAGTTCGCGCTAGCACGCGGTTCAAAATCGAGATAACAACGCTGTCGCAGACAGACGGCACGAGTGTCGGTTTGATCGAAAGCATGCGATATAATAGCCCGCGTCGAGAACTTTTGTCCTTTGATTGAGTATATCAAGTATTCCGGTCGAGTAACAAGTGGTGGACGCGTCTGTCATGTCACGCGTCAAATGCAGCGTATTATGCAGCGTTCATTTTCATGGCTTTGTGTTATCTAAAAACAACGGCGAGGTGTCCTCTCCCCGCGTCGATAAAAGTTCCGCGCCGACACTCGAAATGGCTTCTCCTATTCAACGATGCGCGCGTGGAATCGATACGGCGGAATTTTCGCGTCTCTACGACGAGCTGAATATTTCAAGGCAGTTACCGAGATGGAATTTTTCAAAATGCAAAATAGAAGATTAATAAAAATGCGAAGTTTCAAAGTGTATGAGTGCTATATTTGTGAAAAAAGAGTGAAAAAAGAGAAATAAATAGAGAGGCAGTGAGAAAAAGGGAAGAAGACAGTAAGAAGAGGTAGAGAGGGAGGGAGAGTGGATTTTGATGGACAAAAATATCGCTTTGCGATTGCTTTTCCAACAGATGAAAGTGCCTATCATTAAATAATACATATAACATTTATTTTTTGATCGCATACAATACTGATCAAAGGGACTGAAATTTTAATTTCCACGCAAAATATGAAGTATCGATTTATATAACGTTTAGCGATCTTTTAGTTATCTATATTTTTTAAAATATGGGGCGTTAAAACATTTCCAAAATGTATTTTGGTATTTTCTATTGATACAAATTTATTCTATTAATTTATGTCCGCGTCTTATTTGTGTTTTTTATTTTACATGATATGATGCATAGTTAATATTTAGAAAAACGCTACTTTAAAAACCAAACAATTGTATTAAACATCAAACAATTAACAAATTGATAACAAAATTAACAAATGTATTAAACAATTGTATTAAATATCAAAATTGAAAACTGGTTATATATGAGTCTCATTGTTTTATGTGCAACTATCTAATTAAACATCATACGTAGCAAAATAAAATCGAAATGTTAATTTTGTACACGTGCTAAGAGGTTTAGTACAATGTTTTAATTATCTAGTTCTTAAGAAGATATAAAAAATGTTTAATTTTAATACAAATCGAATTCTTAATGTTTCCATTACATTCTTTTTTTTTAGAAACTAGATGGTACTAAAATCCTCTTTCTCTACCATATTGTGAAGTTAATCTCGTTGAAGTAATTTCATTCCATTTTTACGGTAGAGGCAATATCAATGGTAAGAGTTCGTTTTGTAAAAAAATTGAATGCACGGTTCTGTGATCTCGTAAAAAACGAAGCGTGGCTTTTATTTGACTTGTGCACTATAAAGTATTAATTTTTTATATAATTGTTATATATATATTACTTCGATTATATAAATCTAAGCTGGGATATTATAAAATTAAGAATATTAGTGCAGAATCTCTTGAGAATTTATTGATATACAATGATGTCAAGATATGTCAATTAATTTTATCAATAAATGTATTACTTTTTAGAACATCGCCGACGTTGTTCTTGTCGGTTATTCTCACGATTTCCTCAAGTGGAACCTTTTTTCTCGCATCTTGTCGTTTCAAATTGTCTTTCATCAAAACAGTTAATATAAAGCCTAGCAGTAAATATCCAGCGCTGTAAATAAAAATTAGTATAGTGTGTCGTACATTTCCAGTAATATTCCAGCGATTATAATGATAATATAATATTGTACATGTTGTACACTATATTCAAAATCTCCGTAGATATATTCTTCCTTTGTCTTCTTCCGCATTGTAGAACATGGACAGGATATATATTTTGATTAAAGATATGTGCAGAATGTGTGAGAATATTCTCAGATGCTCTAATTTATTATATCGTTACAAATTCATTAGCTCATCTGCAAATACTTTAGAATTATCGAATTGAAGAGCGTAATCAGGATATCTATCATACTGAGTTAAACTTATACATGATAAAGTTCTTACGTCTTAAGAATCTTTTAATCGTCTCGACGATTTTGTCATCTCTCTTTGCTCAATTTAGTTTTTACAATACCCGCGTCTCGGATAGTTTTGGTCTCTTCTGAAATACTCTAATAAAATAATACATTGGGAAGATTAAAACGTGATAATCTCTCTTGAAGAAAAAGAGCTATCTTTAATTAATTAGTTCATTTTCTCGTGATCGGCCGATGAAAATAAAACATAAATCGAAAAAGAAACTAAGATTAAATGGATTATCGGTTGTATTGGGAAAATCTGGCCGCGTTGAAAATTTGATAGATGTTCGAAGAAAGGTGAGATCGACACACATTATCGAGTCTTTCACTCCGATAGAGTATTAAAAGCTTCGTTATATTGGACGTATTTAGTAAAATCATATTTACATGTACGATATATTCAATGTGGCTTTCTAATTAATAATGTTTATAAAACATTATTTTAACTTGATGTCGTTTTAAAGAAGACGCTCAATTCTGAATTACTATAATAAAATATATATAACACGTTACGTGTTAATAATAACCGATAAATCAAATTAATTTTAATATGAATAAATTAAAATACACGCGACTACAATTTTACTCTTTTCCTATTATGTTGATGAAATAATTGTACATGAGATTACGAAGAAAAAAGAACGTTAAATTTATCTCAATCATTATGAATTAAAATCAGACGACTGTAAAATTAATGAATACGTAGAATCATTCGCGACGGATTATAATATTTACATATAATTACTAGTAAGAATTCAATGGTAGTAACGATGATGATAACCTAGATTAAACGTGATAAATCGTCATCGATGTCATTTACACTTTCGTGATTTTTCACTATCACAAGCGGAAAAATGAAACTGCAAGTTGATTCCACTTGACTATTTAACATACTTAAAAATGTGGCGATCAAGAGAGTTCGTGGGAAGAAAACTAATATGCGGTTATCTTCTCTGATATCGATACGATTATAGCCTAATAAGGATAAAGGATAATTATTACTAAATTATAGCCTAATTAGGATAAAGGATAATTATTATTAAAAAGTACAATGTATAATTGTGACTGTAGATTTACCGATAACATAGAGGTAAAACCTGCTGGGATGAACGCCGATGGTTTTGAAGGCACATATTATATATTTTGTATTTTTAAAACATTCTTTCGAGTACAGGTTACGTTTTTATATGTGTACAATGTGCCATACGTGCTACATAGAAATATAATTTCGCCACTTTCCCTCGAGTGCCATCAGCTTGAGGATAGTATAATTTTGACGTAAATCTCGAGAAGACGCGTTGAATCTAACAGGATTGTGTGTAGGGAGCGGAATAGGTGTTTGAATCACGTGACAATGACGTTTTCTTGCGAGCGAATATTACAGTGAGATAAGTTTCACATATTCATGTACTTTCACTGACTTTTGATACTGAGTTTATATGGTAGATTTATG